CCCCAAAACCCCAAAACCCCAAAACCCCATCATTAGTCAATTCTAAATAGATAGGAAAAAAACATAAGTAAAATCAGATATTTAGAAACTTCTCCTTAATATTAGAAAGGAATTGATTCGATATCTTATTTCCATTTAAGCACGACTATTATATAATATATCATTGTAATATTTAGGATATAAGATGAGCTACATCTATACTGATATGAAAGGTTCAGCCAGGGTAATGCATGAAGACTACAACAACACTGTTGCTGGTTGGGTTAATGAATCGATTGTCATTGCTCTTCCGGAATTGCTTGAATGTATTAACAAACTATACGAGCAAAACCCTGAAAGATTTGAGAGCACAGAAACTTCATTTTCAATAGCTGACTTCGGCTGTGCCACTGGCGCATCATCTATAACACCTTTAAGAACAGTTATAGACAGAATTAAGCAAATTAATTCTGAAAAAGAGATTCATGTTTACCTTGAAGATTTACCTGAGAATAGATTTGATTTGGCATTTACCACTGTTCAAGAAGGCTTAAAAGATTATAAAAATGTATTTATTATGGCAGCAGGCAAGGATTTCAGTCAGTAGGTATTTCCTAATAAATTCCTAGATATTTCATTCTCTTCCCTTACTGCTATGATTCTTCCCAGCCCTCCAGCTCCCTTAGATGACAATGTATTCTTCTTAGCTAACCCAGAGAATACCGAGACAGAGAGAGGTAAAAAATGGATTGAAGGATTCAATTAACATTGGGTTCAGTTTATGAACTCAAGAAAAGCAGAACTAAAGAAAGATGGTTTGCTTTTTGTGACCTTGATCATTAACTAGAATCCAAACAAGGACTACTAGACAAAAGAGAATGAGTTTTACCACGAAGTAGCAACACAAGTATTAAAAAAGGTACTTACTAAGTACAATGTCGAAGATAAGATTTCTTCTTGCATGAAAACCACTGTCTCCGTTTACAAGTCACATTACCTAGACATTTGCAATAGTATACCTGATTTGCATGTGGTATCATCTAATGACTTTGATGTTAAAGATATTTTTTATCATGAATACATCGAGACCAATGATTTAAAGACTTTTGGATAAAAAGTTGCATCTTATATCCAAGGATGGTGGGGTGACGTACTAGAGGGAGGACTAGCTCAATAGGGGGTCGACCAGTAAATCATCAAAGAAGTCTCGAAAGAAGTCTTCGAAATTTTGCCAGAGTTTGTAGAAAGCCGCTTAAATATCTACCCAGAGTACTACAACGTTTTGGCACTAGCTGTACAAAGAACTGCTTGAGTTTTCAGCAAGCAATTGAAGATATGACGACTATTAAGATCTGATTTTGATCAATTCAAATCATGACTTTAATATTCTGGATTTTAAATACTATTTATCATGTTTTTCATTAATATATATATCATGGGGTTTTGGGGTTTTGGGGTTTTGGGG